GCCCCATGGAGGCAAGACTGTTCTCTGCTTTTCCAAAGCACTAAGCTTAAGATAAAACAGATAAGCAGTTTGTCTTTTTTTTGTCTTTTTTTTTTTTTTTTTTTTTTTTTTAACACCTTTGACACTCCTCCCAGTCCAGGCAAAGATGGACTATAACACAGAGGTTTATCAGTAGGTCTCAGACCCACCACCATTATCATCCATTGCATTTCCCTATCATTCATTTCTGCTAAATGGAAACCGCATGGAAACCAGGTGTACCAAATTCAATCAATGCCCTACACAAATGCCCACTCATTTGTGCTTCTGACCTTCTGTACTTCTGCTGAAGAATTTGTCTCTGCAAGACCAATGGCCACTAAAACAGATAGCTAAGCTTAATGCAAGGTCGCTGCTTTGTATTATCTCTTCCAAACCCATCCTTCACCATCTCTTCCCAAACAGCTGGGAACCCACAGGCAAAGGTCTATTGAATTGTAAAGGGTCTTAAGATAAATCTTTCAACTTCAAGGGCTTCCTTGGTAACTTTCTGAGCAGCTGGGCATTTCCCAGCTCTTGTCACCCTACACTAAGTCACAAGGCAGAAAGCAGCAGCAGCATTTTCTCCAAGACTGTTCAGGCTCATACTGCCTTCACTCCACCTGCATTACTTCATTATGCAAGTGATACCTGATATCATCCTCACCCCTTCGCTACTACATCCCAGGATACAGTAAGGCATAGTGCAGTTTGGCTCTCCAGGAAGAGACCATATGTGCAAGAGATTACAGTCTAATACACAGCCTTCTCCCATTGGCCTCAGGGGTGGTGGGATCAAACACTGAAAAGTTACTTACATACCATCACTTCCACCTCTACTGCCCACCTCTTCTTTACTACACTCGGAGGTGGATCAGGGCGCCAGCCGTAAGGTCACCATCCCGGCAGGCTGCACCTCTGTGCAGGCACAGGCACAGGTTTGCCCTCCAACCCCTGTGGGAAAAGTCTGGGGAAATGCGTTATCGTACCAGCCTGGAGGACAGTGCTTCTTTATTACACTTGTCACCTTTCAGCTGTTCTTTACTTCTGAATGTACAGAACCATTTTTATTTGGTTTACATCAAGACATTAGAAATAAAACATGTATTTTCTTTAAAATAAAAAAGACACCCCCAAACAAACAAACAAACAAAAAACAAACAAAATAAAAACCAAGCCCCAACACTATATACATCTTCTCCTTCCCAGTCTCCGCTCCTCTCCCTCCCTCCCTCCCTTCCTCCCTCGTTCCCACCCTTCCTCCCTCCCTCCCAGCATCTGCGTTAGGTCCTGCTTCCAACACATAGATTTCACATCTCTTGCCTGACCCATGCCCCGACCCAATTTCCATGCCTATTGTAAAGACATCCCACCCTGCTTGGTAAGCCCAGTCTCATCTCCAACAAAGCATTTGGTAACCTGCATGGCATTTCTCACCCGGTTCTCCCTTATCTCTGACACCAGGGCAGAGCTCGGCCGCTGTCCCAGCTTGGGACGGCGGTGGCTCTCCTGCATATCCCAGCCCAGCTCCTGCAACATTGTCCAGATGCAAATGATTGTCCCTGCCTAAAGGGACTGAGCTCTTTCTGACAGCAGAGCACCATGAGTCTCCAGCTCCTTTCCCAGTACCTGCCCTCACCATCTCCCAGAGTCTGCGGTCCGTGCCCACCAGGGACTGCTGCCATGGCTGGGTTTCCTTGAGTGCTGCCTGCAGCTGCACCCAGCCTGTCTGGCTCACTGCATGTCCCCGGTTTCCAGTGCTCTAATCTTTTCAAACCTTTTGTATTGCACATGTATTTTCACTACTTCTCTCTATTCAGCTCTGCTTCTAAGATTACAGCTCTCTCCCTCCAACCACCTCTTCCTCATCCCATCCATTCCTTCAGGATTTCAGCAAACACCTTTCCTAAAGCCACTGTCCTTTGGTCTGCAGCTCCAGAGGTTTTGCTTCTGCCTGATACAGCTCAGAGATTTAACACCTCTTCCCCCTCCCCACAAAAAGGCAAACAAAACCAACTCCCTCCCCCACCCCTTATCTCCTCGTACCAGGGCCTCTGGAGCAGATCTGGTCAAACAGACTGGCCCAATCAGTTCCCCGCATGGCTCTATTTCTGGGAAGTGGATGTGCTGTCCATTGGACAGAGGAAGTGCCAAGCCTTGGCAGGTTCCCTACTTATTTGCAAGACATAAGCTGCTGGCATGGTGTCAGATGTGCATGCAAGAAAGCTGGATGCCAGTTAAGACCTATAGTCCTGTTTGTTTCATGCACTGTGAACTTATCCTATATACACTACGGGCTGGTTTATGCTTGAAGACATGAATATAAAGGTATACATTTTCCTTTTACCTTAGTAACCAAAGCTTTACTTTCACCCATGGAATAGCAGGGGTTTGCTACCAGGGCTCTTATTTTCCTCTTCTGCTCTTTCTCTCATTCTCTCTTCAGTTCTTAATTCTCAAGGTGAAGGGGGGATAGGAGAGGGACAGGTAGGATTACAGTCCCAAGGTCCTAGTTCCTAAAGGTCCCTGAGTGACAGCACTATACAGTATCAGAAAATGAAGCGATAGAGTTATGTTGGCCATGTATATCCTGAGAGAGATTTCATTTCTGTTTCTCCCCTTCCTTCTCCTCCTCCACATGCCTGCCTTAGGCTGTTATGCATGGGAAAGGTGCAAAACCTTCTCCAGACCAGCTCCCTCAGGCAGCCTGGTGCTTCCATCATGCTCGTGTTAAAGTCTGCCCAAACACCAAGACCCTGCAAGCAGCAGCCCTTTCCCAGGCTGCAGGCAAACCCAGCTCCACTCAGAATTGCCTCTTGCTCCACTCCAGCGAAAGCCAGAAGCAGCTCCTTTTCAGAACAGCGCTCACACTCTTTCCTTCCCACTGCTCCCCCTTCATGAAGCAAGGGTGGACAGCAATGGGCACATAAGTGCAGAGTGGAAATCTCCTCCAACTTTCCAATAACACGAGCTTTGTACCCACTGCATTAGAGGCTCATGCCTTTCCTTTCCTCATGCTTTTGATGGCTTGAAACCTCTCAGCCTTCTTTGATTAAAACTCATTTTTTTTTTTTTAATCCACTGTCTCCTTTCTGGATCACTGGACCTTACAGCAACACATGGGTTTGTTGCCTGTCTTAGGGGTGGACACATAGCTATGGAGGGGGAAAATGGAGGTGCCACCTAGGTCCTGGAGGAGAGCATGTCTAAAGGCCTTCAGCAATCCTCCCTCATCCAGGACCACATTTTCTATTACTCATCTGACTTACAGGACTCAGTTGTTCTCCAAGCATCCTGCTCTGTCACCAGAAATTATAAGGCAGTTCCTGAACTGTGAAAAGTCCTGACCGCACACTCTTTGGCAAAGATTATTGTGTAGGACCGAATAGTCCAGATGTCTGGATATACTAAGACTGACTCTATGAAGTAAAACTGGCCTGGCAATGACAGGTCAGAAACATTCAAAGAGAGAAACTAGGATGACTCCTGATAAGAAAGAGAACCCAGCCAACAGAGAACCGAGGCAATAGCAAAGGAGCCTGGCTTTGAATCCCAGCAGGTGAAGAAATCAGCTGAGCAGTGCTTTTTCCCTGGAAAGCTTTTGGATTGTCACTATGAAATTCTGGGCTCAATCTCTGATTGAAGCCTCAAAGAGTAAACACAGACGCCCCCATGCCTGATCTCCAGCTGCTGGAGGCCTTGGGCTATACCTGCAGGGCTGGATGGGTCTGTAAGTGGCTGGCAGGAGCCCCCTCCCTGTAGGGCTCTGTGCCCAAGCAGCAAAGAGCATAGTTGAGCTTTGCTTCACATCTGTGTGCCACTGCTGGCCTTTGGGACCAGCTGAGAGAGCTCTCAGGTGCCTAACTCCTGGCACAGATTTGTCAGGTTTCTACTACAGCTACCATATTACCGGAGTTCCTGAGTCATCTCCCTCAGCTTCATCATTTCTTACCATGTGGCCATTTGTTCTCCCTCCAGTCTTTAACAGGCTTCTTACAACTGCCTTTTTTTTTCTTCCTTCTGTCGTTCTGACCACCCTTTACACTGCAATCACATATATAAAGGATAAGTGTTTAGATATTTTATTTAATGACCAATCAGCTAGTTAGATTCCCCTTAAAAACCAAACCTGCTGCTAGACAGCCTCCATCTGGCATGCGTATATCCACCTACGTTATACTGTTGATGTCATAAAATACAACTTTATGACTTCCATTAAAGGTTTTAAAAGCCATTTCCAAATTAAACCCCACTTGAAAGTGTAACTTTCTTCTCTGGCCAACCTTTAACTTCCTACATATCAGGCAGACAAAACTATCTGATTCAGCACTAGTCCTACGATCCAGCTCTATTCACTTTTCACTCTTATTCCTATACAGACCCATGTCAACAATAAACTGCAACCACATTGGGAAAACCCAGTTTCAACAGTATCACTCAAACGTGGAAACCAGCAAGAGACTGTTCTGCAGGGCAGCTAGGAATCTAATCCTGATTTAAGAGTTGTGCTAAAACCTTGGTGAGTCCAGGGAGGCCTGGACTAAATGCGTGCATGCATGAACATGAGAGGGAGACAGAGATTGGGGATGACCAAGAAGAATGAATGCTCTACATTTATGTTTAGGATTCTACCAGTAGAAAATGCATAAAACACATTACTGATATAAAAATAACAATACTTATTACTCTGATGAGCCCTGATCCTACTTCATCCAAGTCAAGACAAAACTTTTCGTGACTTCAGTGTTACTAGGTCAGGCCTATAGTGATTCACATTTTCATAGCACTGTACAGACATAAATTAGTAAATGAGAAACTGTGCATTAGATGCATCTGGCATCTCAAAAACAGGAGTTTCCCTGGTCTCAGCGGATCACTCTGCTCTCCCAAACAATGGGATCTAAGAAAAAAGGAAGAGAATGCTTGCAGGAAAATAAAGGGATGTTTGGATTCAAGGCCATGTGTTTGTGTCTGTGTGTCTGGCATGTAAAAACCTCTATCAGGTAAGAAAAAGGTTCTCATCATTACTCCAGGAATGGCAGAATGACCCTAAGGTTAAAGTTTTGCACTTGTGAATTTATTATATTCATGGCTTTTATTAACATTATAAGGGAGATTATCAATCATAAGTGATTGCCAAAGTGGCCAATAATTCAGTGATTTTCTGAAAGTCACTGGCTCCTTTGGAAAAAAGTTGACCTTGCCATCCAAGGCCAAGTTACCCTTCTGTACCTTAATAATGTGCCTGTGGATGTAAGCTGCTACAGACTTAGGGGCTTCCACAAGCACAGACAAGCTCAGCATTTTCATTGCAACCTTCAGCCTGCCCAGTTTTTGAAGACCATTGTCTTCCAGAGGGATGATGCTCCACAGAACTCTACTGTATCCTTAGTTGCATCTTCTGCAGGAAGGAACACAGAGTCCTCTTCTCTACACTCCGCATGTTTTAACAGACACAAAGCAAGGCCAGATAGAAGCAGTACACATCAGAGGGTGCCAGCCCACTATTTGCTTCTGAAGTTCTTAGGAAAGGGAATAGTTATCATTTCTGGATTTTTTTTCATCCTGAAGCACAACAAGTTAAACAACGTCCACCCCTTCCTGCACCTTGCTGTAGGCTATGGTTACTTGGTGGACTGGAGTGTGAAGTCCCTTGTCTGGCAAAAAGAGCAGGTAGTGGGGGGAAATGGCTGAGTTTTCAGAGTCCTGCTTTTCTCCCAAAAACTCAGTAAGAAATATGCAGGGTGGAAATGATTAGGAACAAGCCCTCATTTCAGGACTAAACCAGTTTAGATCAGATGCCAGCAGTGGACAATGGCACCATCCCAGTGCTGATCCACAAAGCCCTCTCTCTCCTCAGCAAGTATATTTGCACAATCTACTGTCCCCAGCCCTATTTCTCTAGTACAAGCTGGGATTCCAACCTCCAACCTCACTAAGTTGCAATGAGCAAACAAAACCCTGCTATTCCCCCCAAAACACTGCCGGTTAAATGTCATCTGAGTTCTCTTTCTACAAAAGACATTACAAAACCCCCCTCCCCAGCTCCCCACCCCAGAAAACATGCTTGCACACACACATCCATATCCACATCCACACGCACACACACACAGATGCGCCACACACACCCCCACACCCATTCACACAGGAAAAACATCTTGCAGACTCCTGAAGGTGGAAAAAGGCAACTTGCAAATGTGCCTTTGCTTTTGATAAGCTCCCTCCTCCCACCCCCCTATTCCCCACATTGCCCCTTCCCTCCCAAATAATTGCCCTGTCCTCCCCCCTTCCCAGCTCTTCCAAAATAAATATTCTTTTTATTTGTTGGTTTAAAAGATTCTTTTAGGCTTGTAAGCAAGAGAGAGGGAGAGAGAAAAAGAAAAGAGAAATCTCATAGCATGAGAATGAAAACCCACTATCTCATGAATCTATGAAAGAATAAACATGAAGGGGTTAAGAACAGCGACAGAAGAGAGATTAAAAAAATATAATAATACTGAGAAGAGAAAGATGAAATTCAGTAGTGAAATGGAAGTGAGGATAGCGCATTAGTGAGCACAGCCAAAGATAACCTATCCCCCCCACCAGTTTTTGACTCAATTTCTTTAAATCTCCCTCCCCCCCTATTTAAAACTTTTTCTTTTTTTGTTGTCGTTTTTTCTTTTTTTTCTTTTTATGTCTTTTTTCTTTTTCTTTTTTTTTCTTTTTTTTTTTCTTTTCCTTTTTTTCTTTTTTTTTTCTTTTTTTCTTTTTTTTCTTTTTTACAATGATTTAAGTCCTTCAGCAGGAAACCAAAATCAAGACAAACACATCCCTCCCTGAAACCAAATCCCCTCCCATATACCCTTCTCTCCCTTATCCCCCCCAACACTCCGTGGTTCTACATGTGCTGAAAAGAGAAGAGTAAGCTTAGAATAAATCTAATGAATCAAAGGAATAAATGATAATGATAGTAAAGAGTAAAACCCAAACCCAAAAGACCACAACACTCCTGTGTTGTCATTGTCTGAGTGTCTGTCCCTATCTCTCTTGGAGGCTGCAGGCATCAATTTACATAGTACAACCAGTAAACAAGGTTGAAGAATCCAAAGGTGATTGGAAAAATGATTCGTGACCACTTGTCAATGGTGCTGACATCTGTCAGGTCTGGGATTTTGAGCTTCAGCTTAGATGACCGCCGGCGGAGACGGCAATTGGCACGGTTGCGGGCTGCGGCATGGTGGGTCAGCGGGACGTGGCGGTCCAGGGTTGGGTGGTGACCAAATCCATCCCGAGAGGCCAGCTGCTTCCGGAACTGGATTCCTGAGCCTTCAAAGGACATGACAGAGTTTCGAGAGTCGCCGACGCTGCTCATCATGTCCGTGGCCAGCAGCTCGTTGTTCATCTCCAGAGTGCTGAGGAGGATGTTACCATAGGGGTCAACCTAGAACAGGGAAGACAGAGAGAAAGGTAGCAAGGTTGTCCTGTGCACAGTGTGCACGTGGCTATGCCACCAGGGATGATTTTGAACTGTTTTCTGTGTACCAGTAATGCTGGTTGGATTATCAGTGGGCTCTGAAGCTGGACTTCTGCATTTGCAAGGGTTGTCTATCAATGCTGGTTGCCCACAGGCTGGAGCCTGTGCTTGCAGCAAACTTGTGAGTGGGGCAACGTGACTTTGCCAGCAGATTACACCAAAAGCCACAGGGGTACTCTGGGCTAGATTTGTCCTTGTAAGAGGATGGTCCTGATGAGATTAGCTTGAGGATGATGACCAAATGATCAAGGAGAAAAAAGTCCCAGTAATCACCGGGGAGAGGTCTTTCTGGGCATCTGTCTGCAAACTTCAGTGGATCTGTGTTAACAACACAAGGGAACGGAAGTTTCTCTCTCATGATGAGGAGAAAGGCTGCACTACAGCTCACCCAGGACTGAATGAGCAGTGGAGAGACTGAATTCTCCTCCCACAATGAAAGAAGGGGACAAACCTGCTCTCTCACCCTCTTCTCTTCATAACGGTGGCGCTCATTGTTAGCCTTGCTGATCCGTTCGCTCTGTTTTTTCTGCTGCCGAGGGCCTCGCCCAAAGAATATGTAGTTGACAAAAGCGTACTCCAGGAGTGCCAGGAACACGAAGACAAAGCAACCCATGAGATAAACATCAATAGCCTTGACATAAGGAATCTTGGGGAGAGTCTCTCGCAGGTGGGTGTTGATGGTAGTCATTGTAAGCACCGTGGTGACCCCTGTAAGGAGAGGGTAGGTGTTCTGTTACCAAGGTGGGGTGGTTTCCTTAAATGCCCATCTCAGTTTCCCCATCACTCCTCCCAGCTGGACTGAACCTCAGAAAGGTTGGAAGTAATTGGGCAGAAAACTGTCATTATTCTAAGCCCAGCTGCCTAATGTAGAAAAACAAAACAAACAAACAAACAAACAAACAACAAACACATCGATAGTGGGAGAAAATGTTGAAGCTGAGTATCATCAGAACAACGTGGATCAACATTCTCTGGACCTCAGCTTTCCAAGTGCTCTCTGATTGTCCTTCTTTTACTGACTGTGATAGGAAATACACATTTTTTCTCTTAGTCTCTCACTCTTCTCCCTGTTTTCTACTTCATGAACTCATTAGGTTTCCCTGGGCACTACTGAATGCCTCAGTATCCTTGACATGAATTTTTAATCTGCTTTGTCTTTCCAGTGCCATGAATATGACAAAGAGAGAAGGGATTCCTACTTCATGGCTCTCCTTTTACCTGTCTCATAGGCTTCTGTCCACATCCTTGGCCCTATACATTTGCACCTTCCTCTCACCAGCTTTACCCCTCACTACTTCAGTTATCTGTACAAACTCCTCTCATGTTTTCCTTTTTAGGCCTAGTTATATTTCCTGCATCTTAAACAAACATAGTCTTCAGTCTATGGAAGACTAAACAGAAGGGATATATGACAACAGTCTTTCAATATCCAGAAGCTTTGTGCAAAAAAAAGGAGGGGGGGGAGGAAGGAGGGAGGTGGAATAGAATGTTCTCTGTGTCTACCAAAACCAGACAAATTGCATTGGAGACCTAGGATAGATGCAAAGAAGAGATTTTTGACTGTATGAAGAGGCAAATCTGAAGGTACAGTGCCCAGAGGTGTTTGCAGAGTCTACTTCTTTGGAGCTTTTTTAGGACAAGTTAGATAGAGAGCTGTCAGGAATGGCTTGGCAAGAGCTTTTGCAGTTCTGACCTATGATGTTTTGCTTCTGTCTTCTCCTTTGAATCCAGATGTCAGCAGAAATTCAACAGCTGTGCATCTCGTGTCCACCCTTCTGCTTATACTCTCACTGTGCCAGCAATGTCTGCCATGATCTCTTTTTCTTCTCTCACTGATTATACTCCTGTCATTGCAACTTACCTTTTTAATTTACCACGTTCTTCCTGTCCCCTTCCTGCTCCAGACTTTCCAGACAAGTACAGCCAAATCATCTCTTTATGTGTCTCTGTACAAACCACGCTTCCTCCGAGCCTTCACGAACTCTCTCTTCTTCTAGAGCTAATTTAAACCCTCAAATTGCTCTGTAAGACCCAGCCTCTATCTGTGCCTCATTGCTTCTCTGAGTCCTAACCCTCCTCCCCTCCCCCCAGCTGAAATTCTTCTCCCTCTTTGGCTCTCCTATTTCCTCTGAACTTTCTATCATGTTGCACAGCCCCATTCTCATATGCCAGCCAACCCCCTTTTCTCCTGTTCCTTCTTCAAAATCCTCATCTGCAATCCACCCCCACTTCCCTTCTGTTGCTTAAAAGATCTCTTTTTTTCTTCCTCTCGTAGGAAAACATCTCTATTTAGGGGAACATATGCTTAAGAAAAACTTGGACTTTACTGTCCCACATTTGACTTGGTTATGAAGGTCTTCAGCTACAAGAAAGTGTCTGTATAGGGCCTAAAATATCATGAAAATGTGTAATGCTACTTTCTTTATTTTCTTAAATGTTTAGCCATTCACTCACTATACTTACTGCTTTTTGGCCATCCACTCTCAACATGTACCATCTAACTAAACTGCTCCCAGCACACCTGTTGGCCAAGAGGTGCCCAGATTTCTCTGCTTCAGAAAACAAGTACAAACTAGAGTGAGGGAACTGGTGGGTTCATGGCATGTCACAATCTCACATGTCTGAGAAGCTGTGACCATTTATGCCTTTGTTACAGAGTCTGAACCTGTACCTACAGAAATCTATAATGTAACTTTTACCGACTCAGACTTAGGAGATAATATTTCTGAACAAAAAAAGTCACACTTCAGGATGAAAACTTTCAGTTTGTTCTCAGAAAAAATGTTCTTCATTTGGGATACCAGCTTGTTTCGCTGCTATCTCATCAAGAAAAAAGTGTTTTCTTTCTTAGAAAACACTTTTTTTCTTAGAGCTGCACTGTCTGATCTCCCTCAAAAAAACACCTTCAATGTAAAATATAAAGATACCTACCCAGCGCCACTCGTGCAGCAGAAGCATCATAATTGATCCAGAAGGAGACCCAGGACAGGATGGTGATGAGGATAGATGGCATGTAGGTCTGCAGAATGAAGTAACCAATGTTCCTCTTGATCCGGAAACTCAAGGATAAGCGCAGATATGAACCTGTCAATGAGATATTACAGGGAGATGTTGTCTGAGAGGTGGGTGAGGCTGTATTTATGGTAGGAGCTTGGGTTAGAAATTGAAATTTTATTTGGAAAATGTTCTCAAGAGCCAGTGATAATGAGGAATCTCTCTTTCATTAGGTTTTGCAGACTCATCAGCTTTAGGGAGGGGCTCTTCAGAGTCTGCTCAGTTGGCTCAGAATATTAAGAAGAAAGGAAGTTCTACATAAGTTACATTATTATATCAGACATCATGGGATAATGTCTGTTCAGTACTCAGCAGAAACTGCCGTTATGGTACCTTCCAATAAGACATAGATGTACACAGGAGATTTTAACCCTATATCTGGATTCAGTGAGATGATTTTCCTTTGTTTCATGTGCTAGCTTTTCCTCCAAACAACAATGAAGATCTGAATTGTATTTTTCCCATGCTGTTCTAAAAATGGGTTATGGTCAGACTGGGCAAATTCATATGCAAATAGAGTACTGTTAGTTAATCTGTAGGTCTTTTTCTTTTTTTTTTTTTTTTTTTAAGTTCTTGCAACTTCCTCCTAATCTTTTAGTGAACCTAATGGGGACAGTGACAACAATAAGGACTTTTACTGTCCTTCCACTGGAGCATGGTCATTTTTACAGGTATGAAGCCGTGCCTCTCATTGAAACAATGTCCAAGCCATTCTTCCTTCTCACCTCCTTCCCTAGGCAACACAGCAGCCTGAAATATGAGTATAATTGTGGGTTGGCAGCTAAGCTAAAAGGAGAACAACATTCTTTAATGATCAAGGAGGTAGACTCGGAAAAAGGAGGTTATGTTCTCTTACCAACGTGTGCCATTTGTACAGCTTGAATACAGTACTTCACCAGTCCTTTTTTTTGAAGGTCTTATCTAGATTGCAAACTCCTTTTGGAGAAACACTGCCTCTTATAGACCTCTAGATTACCACTGCAATGGGACCCTGCCCCTGGCATGCCTATTGAGGTACCGTTGCAACATCACCATCTGCCACCACCACGGATGGACTTTGGCTTTGATTTCACTGCTTTCCAAAAACCATGTAACAGGTGTGTGGCTCGCTGCTTTGGCAGTGAGCTCCATGCCAGAGTGAACAGAGAAACCAAAATCCAAACCCCTCCAACTTTCCAACTGGCAGTATTTGAATTGTCCCAAGCGTTCCTTACAGATCTTTTTATTGCAGTGTGCAGATGGGTTTCTTTCATTCCACAGACCACCTGCTTCTTAAGTGAAATATTCTTCTGTCTGCTGCTACACCTACATTGCCTTTAGGAGCCAGTTGCAAACCATGTTAAAATAAGGTAAAGTCTGAGAATCTTCTAAGGAGGTTCTGTTTTGAGCTCAGCTGGAGTTTTCATTAAGAAATTAAAACAACTGCAACCAAAAAAAATCAAACGTGGTTGATATAGCAGATGCCTCTCTTTCAAAGGAACAGGACCCTAAACTAAAGCCTAGATCCTAAGTTAAAAGCCTCAGCATCTAGATCAGAGGAGCAACCACACTGACCTAGATCAGCAGAGGGTCGATCACACCCCTGGGGCAGAAACTTACCGGTGGTGAAGACCACTTCCCTGCTGACCAGCCTCTGCTCGATAATGGTGAACTGGGGCAGTTCTAGCACCTCCATCCCCGTGACAGCAGAATCATTTCCTTGCCAGAAGAAGACAATGTCATCAACCGTGTAACCATCTGCAGAGGTGGAAAAGCACAGAGAGAAAACTAAGCTGACAAGCTGCAGCAGATGACACCCCCATTTTCTCTAAGGTGATCTGGAAGAGGATCCAAAAGAAAGCCCACACCATCAGACAGCAAGCAGACCTCCTCCCTGCTGACGTACTTTTCTTCAGCTGAGCTTGGCAGTACAGTCCCCCAAAGAAGAGGGAAGAAAAAAAATAAATAATAATAATAAAAAAAAATGTCAGAACTCCCCCTTCTGGCTAGGATTCAGGAAAAAAACGTGGGAAATGGTCCACCAAGTCTTGACTTGTGCTACATAATCTCCATGGCTAATGTGACAGGGACTTGAGCATCTGAAGCCTCTATCAGATGCACCAAACACTACAATTTGCTTTTTATAAACTGCCTCCTTTTACCAGAAGGGGGAGATCACACAATACATTCTGATGTGGACTAGGTAAACAGAGCCTCCAAGTATAAAAAACTCCAAGAGATTAAAAAATAAATAAAATATTTACAACAGTGATTGAAAAGGAATTTGAGCATCAGAACACCTCCCTCTTTTAAATACTCTCAGTCAAAATTTGGAGTTGGGAAGTGGACAGAGCCTCTGGGATTGGAGACTGCCTTTGCCAGGCACTGGCTGAAAGAGCACTAACAAGAGAAGAAAGGAAGGGAAGGCAGCATGGTGAGGAATGCTCATCCCTTATGCTTCAGCGTAATGGAATTGTTCAGAGGTTAACACAGCTGAGGGTACAGCCTCGTGCTTTGACCCTGAACTCTAGATAGCAGGGCTGCATGGGCTGGAAATGCTGAGGAGCCCACAGGCACAGTCCCAGGAGAAAGACTGCCCAGGTGCTTTGGCCTCACTGGGAGCAAGGCGCAGGGGACAAAGTCATGCAGCTCTGCTCCCATTAGTGCGATAGTCACAGCCCTGCCTACTGCCCTTGTGGGCGAGGAGTCATCTCCACTTGAAAATTAACATTGCTTTTGGCAAGCTAGGCTTTGCAGCACCGTGGCTGGTACTGGACAAGGGGTGTCCGCTTATTCTAAGCAAAGGGTAGAGCTGCACGGGAGCACCTCTGTGCTCAGAGAAGCACCAACACGTACACAGGCTGTAGTACAGCACTGTGGAATGCTTTGTTCAGAGCAGAAACTTCACCTGTACCCACAGACAGCTTTTATTCACCACCTGAGCTGCAGCACGACAGCCAGCCTCGGCCAGAAGCCCTGGCAGCAGAGGCAGGTGGCTTGCAGCACCCAGCGAGGCCAACATCCACTACAGAGAGTGGCCACCAGAGCCAGCACCAGATTGTTAGTGACAGCAGGGGAACGAAGAGCTGCTGAATAGAGGAGGAGGAATCATTCTACCTCAACTTAAGTGCCAAGGGTTCCCCCAGCTCAGATCTGAACCTCTGAGGATGGTGTCACGCTGCAGCTCCTGAGTAACCTGCTCTGATCTCATGGCTGACCCTGCTCGGAGCTGGGGGCTGGACTGGAGATACCCTGAGGTCCCTTCCAAACTGAGTTATTTGATGACTCTGTAGCGTCCAAGCCCACGTCCTGTGCTCACGGTCATTACTGCGCTTATTCACAGGTGCTAAAAAAGTAATAAGCATTTTCCAAACGCTGTGCCAGATCTGCTGCTGGTGAAAATCAGTCAAGCCAGGCCTCCACCTCCTCCCTGACAGCTGCTTCTGCTCCATGGCCCTAAGTGGTACAGCACCCAGACTCACGAGCCCACAGGGATTCAGAGGCACCCTTAGGTCATCTCTCCTGCTGCAGACACCGAGGTGTCACAGCTTGCTGCCCTGCCTCAGTTACCCTGGCTTTGTGCACAGGACCTGGTGTTTGCATCTGGTTGCAGCATCTCCCAGAGCAAGGCACTAAGTGTGGAAAGAGTCATGAAAAAGCAAAGCCCTCACTGCTCCCGATACTTGATTCCGGTGGCTCAAACATGCTCGCAGCTACAAACATCGTGTGTGAGTTTCCACCTGAATTCAGACTCTCAGACACTGGTGGTTGCTCTGTGTTTTTCTGAGGTTACCAAGCTCTTTCCACCCGGCGCTCGCCCTCTGCAGAGGTGCACCCAGCCTGTAAACAAGTCACCTCTCCACCTCCTTTGCAGTAAACAAGCCAGGCTGAGCTATTTAAGTTTCTTACTGCAAAACATCTGCTCCAGCTCGTGCACGGTTTTTAGCATCTTTTCTCAACCTCTTCTGATTTCTCAACTTCCTTTCTAAATTATGGAAACCAAAATTAGACAGAGCCCCTTTCCCAGGCTCACCAGCAACATATTCAGAGGCCAATCGATTCCCTGCTCTGACTCACTGCTCCCCTGGTTTATATAACTGAGGCTCACTCCAGCCTTTTCTGTCAGAGCCCTGCCACAAAACCTCCAGCAGTGATGCTCGGGGCTGCGATCCCTCCATCATTTCCCCCAGCCAATGCTCGGGCAGGGACTGTCCCTCAGTCCCGTGCCCAGACCTCTGCATTTAGCTGTGTTCAGATGTATGCGGGATGTATTCAAACGTGCAGCAAGCAAGCCACGCAGGCTGCTATCTTCATCATCCACAAATTTAACAGCAGTGACTTCAAATTTACTTCCTGATCAGCAATGAAAATGTCAAATTACAGTAACTAATTTTAGGATATCTCACAGTTAACTAGCTCTATTCCATTTATTCTACGACCTGCTGATATTGGGTACCAATCTTTTTTTTTTTTTTTTTGGTTATTATGCAATGTGAAATCAAACACGTTTTTTTTTTCCGAGAAGCCATTTTTTAAAGTGATTCTAAAGGGAAAGGTTGTTCAGTCTAAAAATAAACGTTCCACTTTGATTTGCAGCTTTAGAAAGGAAAACGAAGTTTCCATTTTAATGTTAAAAAGCAAAAGAACTTTCACAAAGATAAGTCATTTCAACCTGAAATATCATAAAGTATTGATACAATGTCTTGAAATGTCAGATTAATGGCCTGTTTGTTGCCTGCCTCATCGCTTTTTTGTTCAGTCCTGGCACACAGCTAGGAGAGGGTTTATGGGGTGAGGGCTGTTTTCGGGACAGGGGGTTGGATCAACAGGCACTGCCAGCCTGGGCTTACCTCCTGCAGGCAAGTGCCACAGGCTGCTGTGGGGAAGGAGACCCCAGCTGCATGCTGCTGCTTCACAAACCCAAAGCTCCCGCAACACAAAAGGGTTATTTTGGTGTTTGTTTTTCTTGCTTATTTGTTTTCAGTGTGTTTTTTTAAGCCAGGCATGAAAGGAGTGTTGTTCCAAAGTTGTGTGGATGTGGAAGCAAACAAAATGGAGCCCTGTGGATTTGTGATGTGCAGGAGTGTGAGAGACAAAAGCTCTTAGGAAGGGAACCATGAGTCTCTTCATCTCTGCGTAGATCTTAGAAATATTGTAAGGAAGTGTAACTTCAACTAACAAATTGGCTTGACATGTCCCATTAAGAACAAAATCGCAACATGGGGAACTGTGGGTAATTCTCTGCCTTCTGTTTTCTTGGTTGTACCGTAAACTATTCTCAAAATACGAAGGAGTGCCAGAAATGACATGCCATTAGTGCCTCCAGGAGGACCTCATTTACATCCCATTACCCACCACGCCAAGCACTGCTATCGCTGTGCATCCCGAGCGGGAGCAGGGCTGCCAGGCGCGGGCAGGGCTGGGGAGGCAGCACCGTGCCTGCCGGCTACCGATGCCGTGGGACCTCTTTTATGAAAAAAGCAATTCTCTGATAATCACCACTGAAGCTGCATCATCATTACTGTGAGATCTGCTGCTCTGGACCGCTCCTGCGGGGATACTGCAGTGCATTTTTATGAGGGAGAGACCAACCTCCCTTCGCCAGCGCGGTCAGGGGAGGCTTTTCATGGGAGTCCAAGGAAAATCCAAGCAGGGAGGGGCTGTGGAGAGCTCTGGTCCCACCTCCCATGAAGAGCAGGCTCAGCCACCAGTGAGGACTTGCTTAGGTCTAAGGGAGGCTTTTCTACCAAAAGCAATGGTGCTTTTAGTGCCCAGCCTGCTGCTAGATCTCTATTTTCCTGGGCATTTCACCCATGAGGTCCCCAGGGAATAGAGTTTGGATGGGAAAGCCTGGTCCCACCCAGGGCACACCCTTGGATGGGGGTTAACACCCGGGGGAGGCAGCCCAGGGGTGGGAAGGCTTGGCTGGGGCAGGTTGGCGCATGGCATCGCGTGGTATACGCACAGCTCTCGATCTCCAGCGTGCAGTTCTGCTGGTCCAGGGGGTACCTCCGCAGGTCCATCATGCAAGCAGCCGTGGTAGTGATCCTGAAAGAAGGGGAAAAAAAATAGGATATATATTTATTATTATTATTATTATTATTATTATTTTTACCAAAAAAAAATAAAAAAGGAGAAATGAAAGGCAGACGTGAAAGTCAGGCAGCATTTGGGGCCGCTGTTTCCCTGGAAACCAGGGAGAGCCGCGGTGGGAGGGCGGGAGGGAGGTGTGCGGGGGGCTGGATGCGGCTCACCCTCAACTGCATGGCTTAAACCCTTCGTGACTCACGTCAGCAAGGCAGTGTCTCTATTAGCGAGGTGGGGAGGGATTTGTGTTCCTCCTCTGTCTCTCCAGGAGAAAGACAAAGAAACTGGGAGTAGGCAGAGCTATGGGCAGAGGGGGAGAGACATGTCAGGTTATTAGAGAGAGGCAGAGGACACATGTCCATAAACTGAAAATGCATCAATTAAATTGCCTGGCCATGACCTAGGGGGAAGAATGACTGACCATGTTTTTCCCCCGTCCTTCTTCCCAAATTGCTTCAAGAACCCCACTGCAGTCCCAATCCTTCCATTGTACCTACTGCCCTCCCGCTCCTGCACTATGGGCTGGCGGCTCCGCTCACAGATTCACTCTTGTGTGAGTGATTTCGTGAGCAAGATTTGCCTGACACATGAATGCACGTGTGCACATCTCCTATAAAAATAAGTACGGGGAGAGGAAGAGGGTTGGTGTTGCTTTGGGGGTGTCAGAGCCACTCAGTGCCCATGGAGCGCTCACATGTGTGTGCAAGGAGGGTGCTTGTGTGTTACAGAGAAGCGTCGCTCTCTGGGATGGGGCATTTTGCAGTGGGGTAGATGAGGGAACGGGTAGGAAGCAGGCACAGAGCAGAACAGCCGCTAATTTACCAGCCCTACAGTTAGCAGGCTGCCCCCATTTCTCAAATATATTGCTCCCCTCACCCTTCAATGCAGTTTTCTTCCTATGCAGTGTATGTGTGCAGAGTGCTGAAGAGAGGGGAGAGATTGGTGCATTCCCCCCCCTCTTTTTTTCAATTAACCATCTGGAAGGCATTAATCAAGCTACACATTTTTTACTATGTAGGCATAACCAGTGAACTGTTAACAAGAAAGCTTTATCTTCTGAGCCCTGTGGCCAGGGAGACAGAGAAAAGGGGGGGGGGGAAAAAAAGACAAGAAAGCGGAGAGGATGAGATGGCGAACCAGCAAAAGAGAAAAAGCATCAATGAAAGAAAAAAAGAGAGCAGAAAGGGGAAGGAGGGGCAGGAAGGGTGAAGCTGGATGGAAAATTGGAGGGGGGGTGGTGGCAGAACGGGGGTGCGAGCACCCGTAGGAGAGCACAGCCCGGGGGGTGCTGGGGTGGGGGCCAGAGCAGGGCGGGCGAGCGGCCCCGCGGAGCTGCTGGCTCTTTAAGAAATCTCGTGTGCTAAATTTATCTCTCTGCTGTCTGTGAAGACTGTTTGTAGGAGATGAAGCCTTGAGGAGAGCCTTTGCCACTGCCTGCCGTGCTATAAATAGATCCGAAGAGACGGAGGGAATTTATATATATCCTCGCTGGGTCTAGATACAACACTGCAACTGCCCTCTCTCCGAGCAGGGGGCCCGGGCGAGCTCTTAACCCTTTTATCCGTAATGCAGTTGGGGTGGAGGAGAAAGCACAGGGGGGGAGAAGGATGACAGGGCAGGAGCCACATACAAATTATCACCGCGGCGTTGGGACTGCACGCATTGATCTCACAGCCGCCGGGTTCGGCACCTTGGGGAGGACTGCGGGCAACCCAACGCCTCTCCCACCCCGACCCACCTGGGCACGGGGGAGAGCCCCAAGCACACCTGGGGGAGCCAAACTTTGCCTGGAGAGCCCACGGTGGCAGGTGCATGGTCCATCCCGGCCGGGCGCAGAGACCAGGGAGTCACGGCCGGGTGTGAGTCATCCCCTGTGCCGCACACGGCTGTACTGTATGCATTATACCGCACCCCTGGGAAACAGCGGCGACAAACGCGCTCTCCCATTTTCCCTAAAGTGTGCGATGCAAAAACGGATTAAATGAAAATTTTCCACCCCATTTGTGGGACCCTGCAGGCTAAAACCTTTCCGCGGTGTCCATCCCCGAGTCGCAGCCTGGCTGGCGAACGTGGCTGCGCTAAGGACATCCAGGGGAAGCCTGTTCTGGATGGAGAGGGACCCTCGTGCCTCTCGGCAGGATTTGTTCGTCACCTGCAGTGCTGGTTGGAAATGCAGAGCACGACACAGTGAGCTATGGCTACCACACTCCATGCGCCAAATCCCGCTCACACTAACAGCCAACATAAATCCAGAGCCACTCCAATGATTTTTGCAAGATCACACCAATTTACATCAGCAGAGATTTACATCAGAGCAGGATTTATCCCTGTTGATTCAAAAAGGAGAGAACTTCAGGACAGATAGGACAGAAAGGAGAAAAATGAGATTAAGAGGGCATCAGTCCTTAAAAATCAGATAAAAATTTCTCTTTCCTTCAAATTAAAGGGTGGGCACATCCACACTGCACAGCTCAGCATCCAACAGAGATACCCCAGCTGGCTTGAGGCCCCAGGTTCATGCTGACCTGCCCACGTAACAGTGCTGGGACAGGTGAGGACTGGGATCAAGTAAGCACACAGATTTTTTTTTCTATTTTTCTAGCAGAGAAACACTGGACTGCAGCCACCTGCTTGTCTGGAGTATTTCAGCTGCAGTGTTGCACCCACAGCAAGGGGCGGCCAGCAAGGCCATGGGCACTGGCACCGTGGGACCACCTGGGTGTTTGGCTCCTGCAGCACAACTAGGTGGGGAGCAGCTGGCCTGAGGTGCTGGGTTCTGACTCTGGGCTTCCTAAACCTTAACAAACCACCCTTCTTGGGATGAGAAAAGTGGCATCACAGAGAGGAATGAAGGATGTTTAATTATTTATATATCGGACCTCGAAAAACATCCTGTACCCCAACAGCCCTTTGCTATACCCTGCTCATGGGTGACCCACAGCATCACTGCTCTGTTTGACTATTCCCAGAAGACAGAAGAGTGATGATGGCACGAGTGGTGATGGGAGAGGCAGGGGCAGGGCTGAGGGGCAGGAGAGCAGATAGTGCAGGACAGGAGGCCACCGGGGTAAGGGAGCGGAGGGGTGGGATCAGGGGAAGCAGGAGGTGAAGGAGCCTGGGGAAGGAAAGCCAGAGAAGAAGGAGAGGTTAAAAGACAGAAAGCAGAGTGGATACTCATTCTGTGCGAAAGAAGATGAGGAGACAGAACAAACCATCACCCTGTAAACAGCTCTAGACAGAGTGCAGTGCCCAGAGGAGACGTGACCCAAGCGGAGCAGAGCAGGGAGTGTGAGGCCGGAGGGGATGCCAGGGAAGGGTGCCACCTTCCCCGTGGCACTGGCAAGAGGTGCTGGCTCCTGGCCAGCCCACATCTTCCCTCTCCCTACCCCCTCTCTTGCTTCTTTACCCACCATCCCTCCCCTTTTAAATCCAAAAATGTGTGTGGTGTGAATTCCATCTGCTCTGATGGCGATTCACAGAGACGCTGCCTATCAGAGGGGAGAGGCTCGCCTGCCCTTCACACGATGCTCTCATTGAAGCATCCAAGCCTGGCCACCACCACCCGCCACCTCCAGTGCCCCTCTCCTCCCTCCATTTCTGTCCCCTCTGCAGGCCTCCAGGTCATCCCCCTCGCATCACAACCTTCACACTTCCCTCCCCACAAAAAAGACGTCTTTGTGCCCTTGCCCTAATCATTGCTCTTCAGGTCTGCAGGCTTTCAAAGCAGCCAAGTCCTCAGTGCCCTCCCTGCTACTCTGCTGCACAGCTGGCAGGCAGTCCATCAAGGGGAGACAGGGCTAGGGAGAAACCACTGTACATTTCCAAAAAGAAAAAGAAGGGACGTGCATTCATGAGTTGTCAAGCAGCTCTGGCAGGCTGTGTGCTGATGGATATCCCCCTGCTCTGCCAGCACCTAGCAGATCCAAGCAGAAGCTGAGGCAACACAGATACCTTACCATGGAGAGAGTCCTTCAGCCCCGTGGGAGGTAGGGATCATTTCAAGAAGGACAGCCACAAAACTCCGAGTCCCACCAGGCAAGTGCTAGGTTTCTGTTACAAGGAGGTGGCAATGCCCACCTGGCACTGGTACCACCAAGGCAGAGGCAGGCATGGAAAACCAATGCAGCCTCAGCCTGCTGCCTGCTCCGTGAGCATCACCATGGGACCATCCCACCACAGCTGCAGCTCCAAGGGGAGAGCTCAGACTCCTGCACACTACCAGCCCTCCGTGAGCTCTCTGACCTGAACACCACCACCCTTTTCATTCCCTTTCCGATCCTCCTCATCACTGTTTACTTATTAATGGCTTCTTCTGTCTTATTTAGAATGATTATATAAGTTCAAAGACAGAGCAGTGTGGAGCTCCCACCTATTAAAACCTACCCTGGCTGAATGTCTCCTCTCCATCTCCCTCCTACCCTGTTGCTTGCCTCCTCCAAAGGAGCTGTCCCTTCAGCTCCCCAGGTCTGATCTCCCTGTACCAAACTTCAGCTCTGGAGGCCCTCAGCCACTAGTTCATCCTCTGTATCATCTTCAGTGTGTTGAGAGAACCAAATTCATCAGCTATGAGTGTAAAGGACAAAATATGACCTCCCCAAAACATTATTTGATTCATAAAGGAGCAGGTCCAGCCTCTCTAAGGAGGGCTGGGTTGGAGAGAAGCAAAGACATTCACCTTTGAGGGGTTCCTAAAGCAACTAGGGTCCCTTTCTCCTTAAACTCATCCTTACAAAATGACATACTTCACTGTTTGCATCATAACTATGTGTATATCAGTGAACTAAATGTGCCTGAAACTGGTTTCTGGGGTCAATGTTAAGTGGTACTGGAACAGCATGTGCCTACACTTACAGTTTTGTCTGTTTTGCAGGTACAGAGTAAGTTTCATCATCCAGGGACTAACACAAATATTCAAACACCCTCACAGCTAAAGATTAAAAAAAAAAAGAAGTTTAAGTTGC